GGCTTCTGGACTTAGATTCAGAAGAAGCATCTCTAAATGAGACTAGAAAGGCGTGCTCCTGTTTTCTCCCAGTTCTTCCTCCTCAGATACTCGACCCCCGGATGCCTTTGTTGCATTTGGTGTGTGGTGGACTCTTTCCCCCTCGCTGACACTTACTCACTGGTCACTCCTTTCCCGATTGCTCGAGATGTCTCTTTATTGCTTATAAAGTACTCTTTGTAGAGTCTCTTTATTACTTAAGGTCTATTTGGGGACTTTCTATCAAGTACCTTTAATCTGCCTGCAAAGAATCGCAGTTTAATTTTTAAGAACTGGAAAAACCAGGCATGCTTGATTGTATTTTTCTCCCCAGAGTTTATCTGACTGTTCTTCCCTGCTTGTCTTTTTATATGAAGTTTAGATCCACCTTGTGTAGTTTTGAAATAGGAAGTGTGGGTGTTTTATTGGATTGTGTGTCTTCGCCGCTCTGAGTCGCACTGGCTCTGTCTTTCAGTCTCCTCTTCCGCTGTGTCTGGTGTGAAGCTGTCTTGTCTTCTCCGCTGTCTTTCCTTCCATGCCTGCTCTTGCTCCAGTCTCTCTGGTCATCTTTCCTGCATATTCACATGGGCCTGCGGTGTGCCTGGGCAGGCCTGGGCCCCGAAGCTGGAGAGGAACAAAGCGTGGTCTCTAGCTCTGGACTGGCACTCACGCTGGATCAGCTGAGCTATGTCCCTGTCCCCAAGGTAGAGCTCTGTCAGCAGAGGGGAGAGTGTCCGCACTGTGAGTCCAGAGTTTGTGTGTCCTTCTGCCCCCCACCTCTTCTCCCTGCTTCCCACCACCAACACTCCGTTCCCCAGACGCTTTCCTCCGTTAGCCATAGGAGAGAGAACTCTGAACGGCCTCCTGGAGCTGCTTCTCTGTGCTGTGATGGGGATGGAGCCCAGAGCCTTGTGCACGCCATGCAAGTGTTTGACCACTGAGCTAAAATAGTGATATTTTTAGCAGAATTGTATATTTTTTGTTCTTAACTTTAAAGATAAGTGGTGGGAAGACTCTGGTTTTTGCCTCATTTGTCAACTCCCGTTAGATTACTTATGTGGGCTCTAGTCTGCTTGCTTTCTCTTTTTTGTCTTTCCATAGTGAGCATTTCACTATGATGTAATCTTGACTGGCCTCTATCTCTCTATGTAGAACCAGGCTGGCCTGGAACTCATAGAGATCTGCCTGCCTCTGCCCCCATTGCTGGGATCATCACATCTGGCTCTGTTCTGCTCTTTTTTTCAGTTGGTTTGTTGAGACAGGGTTTCTCTGTGTAGCCTTGGCTGTCCTGGAACTTGTTCTGTAGACCAGGCTGGCCTTGAACTCACAGAGATTCGCCTGGCACTGCCTCCTAGTGCTGGGACTAAAGGTGTGTGTCACCACTGCCCAGCTCTATTCTGCTTTTAAGTACCTGACATGCAGTGGAGGAGGCTCTGTAGTCAGAGAGACAGAAACACAGAGCAGCCACTCACCACCTACCCGTCCCCAACAAATAGCATCACCTGAGCCTCGTTTTCTAGTCTGGAAAACAGGGAGGACTCCTGAACCCACCAAGTAGAGTTCAATGAAGATTAGATTGTTATGTTTTCTGGGCCCTGAAATAATCTTGGGTATCAGCAGAGGGAGTGAGGACAGGTATTACCATTGTCTGAAGAAGTTTGTCTGCTGGACCTCCTTCTCAGGCTGACAGCTCTGTGGCCAGTGATCTGGGCCCAGCTGAGAGCTCCTTGGCCAAGAACACATTGCTTTTGAAAGAAGGTTTTATGTAGTCTAGGAGGGTCTTAAATTCACCATGTAGCCCAGAAGGACCTTGAACTTCCTCTTTTCCTGCTTCTACCTCTCAAGTCCTTAGCCCACAGGTGTGCGTGACCATGTCCAGTTTATGTGGTATCGGGGTTGGAACCCAGAGATTTGTGTGTGCTGGGCAAGCCCCTCTGCCCACTGACCTAAGCCCCCAGACCACAAAAGTGGTTTCTACTGTAGTGTCTTGAGGTTGCTGTTGTTCAGTGACGTACTGAATGGTGACGGGTTTTAAATATTGGAGTTCTACCATGGTTAATACTGTTAACTCATTACTCCATTTGCCCTTCATGTCAGGGCTTGCCATTGAACTGTTATGAAGTCTGTCAGCCTCAGAAAAACACCTGTAAAGGAGGATGGGAGTGGGCTGTGAGGATACCCAGAGCTTAGAGCCAGGAGCTTTCCCCATCTGGAAAATTGGACTGAACAGGGTCCCCAGGGGAGCACTGAGGGCTGTGTCTCCACGGCCCTGGCTTGCCACAGTTGAGCCTCACGTCACCCATCTCTCCGCAGTATGACTTCAGCCTGGAGAGGAAGGCTCTCTTCTGGGTGGAAGCAGCCATCCGAGGACCTTGTCCCCAACAGTGTCATGACCCGGGGATTGCATCAGCACCTCCAGCCTGGTTCTTACTGGTCAGTCCAAATGGCAGTCTGGTGCCTGCACCTGCTGAAGTCAGAGGCCCAGAGGCTGGACTACAAGAACCTCCCGAGGAGGAAGAAGAGGAGGAAGAAGAAGAAGAAGAAGTAGAGGAGAAGGGGGATGAGGAAGATGCCTCCTCTGCCAGCGAGGAGGAGATGGACTCCAGCAGCCCTCAGCCCGGCTCCCCTATAGGCCATCGCCGCTACTCCCTGGGTGTGCTGCGAAACATGAGGTCTGAGCTGGCTGGTGCCCGGCGCCGGCTCTCGGAGAGCAGGCTGGCCACGTGTCCTCGGGCCCTTCTGCACCGCTTCCGAGGCCACCGCACTCTGAGCCTGAGTGCCAGCCCTTCGCCAGCCCCTGGCCTAGCACCGCAGCCCCCCAGCATCCCTGAGCTGCCCCCACGACCCTCCACCGCCGACGCCATGCCTCCACTGCGGAGCCACAAGCCTACTGTCGCTGTAAGAACTGTGGGTTCTCCTCCAAGGCCACAGGCCCTCAGCCAAGGCTTCCAAGCTGAGGGTCCCCAGCCTGGGTTCCTTCCTCCCTGCACTGCTCTCTACTCATCTGCTCGCACCTGGCCCTGTGGTCCTGTCCCTCCTGCAGCCCGGTATATCCGGCTTGGAGGCTCTTGATTTCCCACATGGGCGTCTGTCACAATGATTAACAACCGTAGTTTCTAGTCCCATCTTTCTCTTGCAGTGGAATATGAATTCTTCTAGGGGTGGATAATATTCATTTGTTTCCTGGGCACAGTAGACCCTACCAACAGGGGGAGCTCAGTGCGTGCCTTCTGCAGACTCAAATCTGGGGCTTCACACTGAGCAGGCTGGAGAGGCCGGCAGCTCAATAAAGAAATGTTCACGGAACAGTTGCTTCCCACCAGACACCCACAGGACAAAGAGAGCTGGTCGAGAGGACGTGGAGAGAGGCCTAGACTCAGCTGTGGGATCAGCTTTTGACAGACAAGCCTGGTGTAGCGGGCAAGACCAGGGCGGAGGGAGTCGCAGAAAGTTCCGGGTGCAGAAGTGAGCCTAGAGTCTAGAGAAACTTACGATCTGGGCAGCTCGGGAGCCTAGAGTCCAGAGGAACTTACAATCTGGGCAGCTCAGCTGTGAAAAATTTTGTATTTATATCTTTTTTCTATTAAGTAGATTTCAGGGTCCATAAGTCCTAGATCCAGGGAAGACCGAGGTAGATCCGGACTGGTAGCAGAATATGGTGCTTGGGCACAGCGTTCTGTCCCAGTCAGACACCGAGGTGCTACAGAAAAGGCCAAGGAGAAATTGAATCCAAAAGAGAGAGTCCAGGAGTCGGGCTGGGTTGCTGGGCCACTCTGCGCCACCCTCTCTACTTATAAAGTGGATCCGCGTGACAGGAGGGGCTCGGGGAGCTGGGCAGCTTCTAGATGTTGATGCCGGAAAAGCTCTTCACTGTCATTAGCAGAGCACGGTGGTACACACTTGTAATCTCCGCAACTCAGGAGACTGAAGCAGGAGGATTGCCAGTGTGGGACCAATTTTGGCTACATAGCTACTTTAAGGCTACTCTGTGCTACATAGTTATTAAACAAGTTGTTTTCTAAAAATTCAACTTTAGCAACAACCCTAGTTAGGGGAAGCAGCTGGGGCAGGAGGAAGAGGCATAAGGAAACTGAGGCAGACAGTAGCTAAGAGTCTTTTTATTTATTTATCTATCTATCTATTTATTTATTTAGAGTCTCTTTCAAAGACAAAAGTAATACCACTGCTCAAATCTGGATGTTCCTCATCCTGGAAAAGTGGTGACACGTGGGGAATCCATATGTCCCATGTATTAACCAAGGCCCCAGAAGCAAGGCAGCACCTGGTTTTCCCTCAGGGGAGGGAAGAAGTCCGATGGTGTGCCACCAGTGCCTCGATAGTTTGGTTCCTAGCTGGGAAGTCTGTAGATGTAACCAACCGTCTTATTAAATAAGAAACACAGAAACAATGTAAAAGAGAAAGCCAAGAAGTCAGAGCTCAGAGCTAAAATCTCACCCTTCCTCCTGCTGTCCCAGCTTCGCGAAAAGAGACCTACTTC